AACACTCAAATGCACATACCCATGAACACTCAAATGAACATACCCATAAACACTGAAATGCACATACCCATAAACACTGAAATGCACATACCCATGAACATTCAAATGCATGTACCCATGAACACTCAAATGCATGTACCCATAAACACTGAAATGCACATACCCATTAACACTCAAATGCATGTACCCATGAACACTCAAATGAACATACCCATGAACACTCAAATGCATGTACCCATGAACACTGAAATGAACATACCCATGAACACTGAAATGCACATACCCATGAACACTGAAATGCACATACCCATAAACACTGAAATGCACATACCCATTAACACTGAAATGCATGTACCCATGAACACTCAAATGAACATACCCATTAACACTCAAATGCATGTACCCATGAACACTCAAATGCATGTACCCATGAACACTCAAATGCACATACCCATGAACACTCAAATGCATGTACCCATGAACACTCAAATGAACATACCCATGAACACTCAAATGCATGTACCCATGAACACTCAAATGAACATACCCATGAACACTGAAATGAACACACCCATGAACACTCAAATGCATATACCCATGAACACTCAAATGAACATACCCATGAACACTCAAATGCATGTACCCATGAACACTCAAATGAACATACCCATGAACACTCAAATGCATGTACCCATGAACACTCAAATGAACATACCCATGAACACTCAAATGCATGTACCCATGAACACTCAAATTAACATACCCATGAACACTCAAATGCATGTTCCCATGAACACTGAAATGCACATACCCATAAACACTCAAATGCATGTACCCATGAACACTCAAATGCATGTACCCATGAACACTCAAATGAACATACCCATGAACACTGAAATGCATGTACCCATGAACACTGAAATGAACATACCCATAAACACTGAAATGCACATACCCATAAACACTCAAATGCATGTACCCATGAACACTCAAATGAACATACCCATGAACACTCAAATGCATGTACCCATGAACACTGAAGTGAACATACCCATAAACACTGAAATGCACATACCCATAAACACTGAAATGAACATACCCATGAACACTCAAATGAACATACCCACG